TACAAAAACCACATGCAGAAGAATTTCACCTTACAGTAAAGAGTTTTAAGATAACATCTCCTGAAACACAAAGTCTAAAAGCGAGGATATCCTGTTAACCAAGAACTCAAAACACTAAATAAAATTTCTCTAGGAGACTATGCATATATATATTTTAAATGCATAAATATATGCTTTTTACTGATAAAGATCATAGGAATCTTGGAATGTTTTATCCCTCAGTTTTTAAAATGGTAGTAACACCCAAAGTGTACTGAAGTCACATTCTTCTCTCAAAGGCTGCCTAACTGCATGTACGCCTAGGCTATTTCTTTTGAATTTAATCTCCAAATTGGTTCCACAGATCTTCACAACCATGAAGCCTAAGCACTTCCCCCAAAAACCTCCCTGTTTTCCTTTAAACCCTCAGATCTTATCTTACCTGTGTTACTATTAATCCAGATTCCCTGTCTTCAATCTTTTCCTTCCTCAATTCATTCTGTACTCTATAAGCAAATTTATTGCTTTTTGATGAATGCTTTTATTAAGTCATCTCCCACATACCAAAACTTGTACTCCCAAAAAAGTCTACACTGCTCAACCTATCATTCAATGGCTTAGAAAGTCTAGCCAATCTCTGCATTTCTCCCTTATCTCCATATTTTCTAACTATACAAAAGCCCAGGCTTCTGTCAAATTAATCACCTGTCCTCCAACTTCTCCTGAACTTTCTTTCTATCTTGGCACATGCCATTCCTGCCACAAAGAATGCCCACCATTCCCCTCCTGTTGCCACTGCTCACCACAGTCATTTGCATTTCTGTATTTATGCATGTAAACAAGAACACAAAACTGAGATATTTCTTGCCCTTGAGGAGGCTGGCAGAAAAAAACAAATTTAATGAAACTAGCTAGTTTTTATTAAATACTTATGTGCCAAGTGGTCTCACACATTATTTCTAATCCTTTTAACCATCCTACGAGATAGATATTAATATTCTCCTTTTATCAAAACAAGGAAGTCAAGGTTTAGAAAAATCAAATCGTATATATATTTAGCAGTTGCCTCAAATCACGTACTTGATAAGAGGCAAAGCAAGGACATGAACCCGGGCTGCCTAACTCCAGAGCTACTGCTCTAAAAACTAACAGATTTTTTTGTTTTTTCACAGTCAGAACCATGTGACTACCCCCTTCATCTATCTGAAATAACCTAGTTTTACATAATATTTCTACTTATACTATACAACAAGCTTTCTCATGTTTGTCATTTTAATAAAAGAACATTAAAATTCTAGCTCTCCAAAAAAAATTTTAAAAAACAATGCTCAAATTGCAACTTTAATCTGTAATTTTTTTTTTTTTTTTTTTTTTTGGTCACAGATTACTTTTACCTAAAATATTTCTAAAGAAACTCATTTCAATAAACTTTCTGGAAGATAACTACAAATTTCTTTCATACACTATGATGGTTTTACAAATTATTAGTAATATGAGGATTTTTGCTATTACCACCCAAGAATGTAACAGTTATCTATCACATTGGCAAAGATTGTAAAAACTGACCTACTCAATGCCATTGAAGGTGCAGTGAGACACACACTCTTATACACAGGGTAACCACCCCCTGATCCAGTTATCCCACTTCTGGGAATCTATCCTACAGGAAGAAAAAAGACAAAGATGCAATCAAAGATAAATGTACAAAAATGTCTGTTCCAGTGCTATTTAAAATAGTAATATTATAAAGAACCAACCTTAAAGTCTCACACTAGGAGACCAACATCCCATTCAGAAAAAAAAAGTAGGATCAAAACAGTATATATAAAGCTATAATTCTAATTTTCATTTAAAAAAATTAGAAATCTGTACATGCAAGGAAAAAACTGGAAAAATTCACATTAAAATGTCAGTGGTAACTTTTTCTGGATCATGGGGTCATAGACATTTTCAATTTCTTCTTTATACTTAACATTCTTTTCCACAGTTTGCCACAGTATAACATGAATTACATTAATCAGAACAAAAACAAATGTTTAAGCAGCTATAACCCCTGTAATGATCCTGAACCTAACAAGGGCATATTACTTGGAATAAGAAATACATCTCCTAGTGCAAAGAAAACGTCAGACTTGTTTTCCAGCTTCTATTATGCTCACCTTTACTTTTAAGTTGTGTAAAGAATGTCATCCAAAACTGAGTAGTGCCTGTATTTATCAAACTGCACAAGGCCCACTTTCTAAAAGTCAGCCAAGGCTCCAAAAGAAAGAATCACAGTTAAATGGACTATTGTATTATATATGTCTACTGAGAATAACACATGTCCAATTAATCCTAACTCAAAACATGCAAAATGGAAAAACCAGAAAAATTACTCTCATTTTGCAAACTAACTAAATATATCATTGTTGCCTTATAAGCACATCATAATTAAGTCAGAAGAGAAGAGAATCTTGAAAATAAAACTGGCAAGCTAACAACATTCACTAAAAATGCACATTTATGCATGTTGTCTATTTGTACATTTCTGTCCTAGCAGATAGTTGACTTTAGTGGCAAAGGATGATTTTAATCAGTTTAGAAAAAAATATTAGCATGCCATTCTATAAAACAACTTCTGACATTAAACAGAGAATTGAAATTGATAGCTGAACCAGAAAACAACTTCCCTACAATGTGGTGTGTATATACATGCATGTGTGTGTGTGTGTGTAAATATATATACGTATACATATGCAGAAAAGCTATTTACAAACAAATATGTCTTGGACTTAAGTAAAATAGGGAGTAAAGCAAACAATTCTTATTTAACTCTATTTTAAACAACTGGGAAACTGGTTTGGTCTAAGAAGCTGTTAGAAAATAAGACCACGGAAATGCTGTTCACTGGCCAGGCGTGGTGGCTCATGCCTGTAATCCAAGCACTTTGGAGGCCAAGGTGGGCGGATCACCTGAGGTCGGGAGTCCAAGGCAAGCCTGACCAACATGGTGAAACCCCGTCTTAAAAAAAAAATTAAAAATTAAAAAAATTTTAAAAAAAGAAACAGCTGTTCACTGACTAACAGAATTTGAAATGTTCACAATTTATTCTACTTAAAAAATGAATATCATTCTATTTTCACTCTATCATGAAAATACAACCTTGATTTATAAAACATGATAGGCTATGACAAACAAAATAAACTGCTAGACTATAAATTCCTTAAAGCAGAAACTACACCTTCACACTTCAGTATCCATCAAAGAGCCTAATCTGGGGTTACTCAAACATCTGTTCAATGACTGAATCTGAAATCTATCAATGAAATCATGAATTAACTGTGGTGGCACACGCTTATAGTCCCAGTTACTCAGGAGGCTAAGGCAGGAGGATAGCTTGAGTCCAGGAGGAGGAGACCAGTGTGGGTGATATAGCAAGACTCTGAAAGAAAAAGGGAAATGGAAAGAAAAAAGAAAGGAAGTTAAAGAAAAGAAGGAGAGGAGGGGAGGGAAGGGGAGAGGGAAATTATGCAACTTTTTCACAAGCATAAGATGGAATTTAAACGGTAGCTCAAAGGCATCAATAGATTTGGGCTAGATTGTTAACTGTGTAAAACTGAAAGATTAGTGTTAAATTTCAGCTGCTACAATATTTAACTTAGTGCCTTCTTGCTTAATGTTTTATGATATAGCCAACTTGTCTAGAATAGAATTTTAAAATATCACTGAAAATACAGTGAGTGAATTTACTCTCTGGATTACACATCTGACATATCTAAAATGTACTGTCGGCAATAAGAGATTTCCACTATTAGAGTCATATAAACTGCATTTGGGATACGTCCAAATAGTTGTATCCAGTTCTTTGTGCCTCTTTTTATAGTTTTGTCTTTGCTAAAGACAAAAACCAAACAAACAAAAAAGAAAACAGCTAAAAAAATAAAAACAAAAACAAAACCACAGTCCTATCATGAACAAAATTATCTTTTGCATCCAGAATAAGTGGGTACAGCACTGTACTGCAAAAAAAAAAAAAAAAAAAAAAAAAAAAAAGTGAATGAGTAACATGTTATAGGTGTATACAACTATGAGTTCAAGGTAAGGCACTTCAAGTTTTAATTAACCCAGCAGTATCTTTTATTAGTTTTTTTAGTTTAATAGACTGCTATTCTTATGAAATATAGCCTTATTTAAATACATTCCAACATTAAAACATATGATTACATATTCAATTTTAAATTTGGTTAACTTAAACACTTTGAACCACTCTATCAGTGTGAACTAAATAGGTTAGAGACAAGGAACATTGGGAAAATGAGTGATTTATAAAGAAATTTTTTTCTCAGGTTTATCAAACCTAAATTTATATAGCCTAAGTAAATAAGTCATTAGTGCTTTTCTTTTTCTTTTTCTTTTTTTTTTTTTTTTTTTGAGATGGAGTCTAGCTCTGTCATCCAGGCTGGAGTGCAGTGGCAAGATCTCAGCTCACTGCAACCTCTGCTTCCCGGATTCAAGGAATTCTCCTGCCTCAGCCTCCCAAGTAGCTGGGATTACAGCTGCGCGCTACCACACCCCACCAATTTTTTAATATTTTTGGTAGAGATGGGGTTTCATCATGTTGGCCAGGCTGGTCTTGAACTCCTCACCTCAAGTGATCCGCCTGCCTTGGCCTCCCAAAGTGCTGGGATTATAGGCATGAGCCACCGCGCCCAGCCAATTAGTGCTTTTAAAAAAGCGATTGATGGGCCGGGCGTGGTGGCTCAAGCCTGTAATCCCAGCACTTTGGGAGGCCGAGGCGGGTGGATCACGAGGTCAAGAGATCGAGACCATCCTGGTCAACATGGTGAAACCCCGTCTCTACTAAAAATACAAAACATTAGCTGGGCATGGTGGCGCGTGCCTGTAAGCCCAGCTGCTCAGGAGGCTGAGGCAGGAGAATTGCCTGAACCCAGGAGGCGGAGGTTGCGGTGAGCCGAGATCGCGCCATTGCACTCCAGCCTGGGTAACAAGAGCGAAACTCCGTCTCAAAAAAAAAAAAAAAAAATTGATATTGCTTGTCATTACTTGAGGCGAATACATAGGCTGTGAGCATGCCTGAGCCAGCGAAGTCCGCTCCCGCCCCGAAGAAGGGCTCCAAGAAGGCGGTGACCAAGGCGCAGAAGGACGGCAAGAAGCGCAAGCGCAGCCGCAAGGAGAGCTACTCCGTGTACGTGTACAAGGTGCTGAAGCAGGTGCACCCCGACACCGGCATCTCCTCCAAGGCCATGGGCATCATGAACTCCTTCGTCAACGACATCTTGGAGCGCATCGCGGGCGAGGCTTCCCGCCTGGCGCATTACAACAAGCGCTCGACCATCACCTCCAGGGAGATCCAGACAGCCGTGCGCCTGCTGCTGCCCGGGGAGCTGGCCAAGCATGCGGTGTCCGAGGGCACCAAGGCCGTCACCAAGTATACCAGCTCTAAAAGACCTAACACCATAAAAACCCTAGAAGAAAATCTAGGCAAAACCATTCAGGACGTAGGTGTAGGCAAGGACTTCATGACCAAAACACCAAAAGCATTGACAACAAAAGCCAAAATAGACAAATGGGACCTAATCAAACTCCACAGCTTCTGTACGGCAAAAGAAACAATCATTAGAGTGAGTCGGCAACCAACAGATTGGGAAAAAATTTTTGCAGTTTACCCATCTGACAAAGGGCTGATATCCAGAATTTACAAAGAACTAAAACAGATTTACAAGAAAAAAACTAACAAGCCCATTCAAAAGTGGGCAAAGGATATGAACAGACACTTTACAAAAGAAGACATACGTGAGGCCAACAAACATATGAAAAAATGCTCATCATCACTGGTCATCAGAAAAATGCAAATCACAACTACTCTGAGATACCATCTCACGCCGGTTAGAATGGCGATCATTAAAAAATCTGGAGACAACAGATGCTGGAGAGGATGTGGAGAAATAGGAACACTTTTACACTGTTGGTGGGAGTGTAAATTAGTTCAACCATTGTGGAAGACAGTGTGGCGATTCCTCAAGGACCTAGAAATAGAAACACCATTTGACCCAGCAATCCCATTACTGGGTATATATCCAAAGGATTACAAATTGTTCTACTATAAGGACACGTGCACACGAATGTTCATTGCAGCACTGTTTACAATAGCAAAGACCTGGAACCAACCCAAATGCCCATCGACGATACACTGGATAGGGAAAATGTGGCACATATACACCATGGAATATTATGCAGCCATCAAAAACGATGAGTTTGGGTCCTTTGTAGGGACATGGATGAACCTGGAAACCATCATTCTCAGCAAACTGACAGAAGAGCAGAAGATCAAACACCGCATGTTCTCACTCATAGGCGGGTGTTGAACAATGAGAACACATGGACACAGGGAGGGGAGCACTACACACTGGGGTCAGTTGGGGGGAAATAGGGGAGGGACGGTGGGGGGTGGGAAGCTGGGGAGAGATAGCAGGGGGAGAAATGCCAGATGTAGGTGATGGGGAAGAAGGCAGCAAATCACACTGCCATGTGTGTTCCTATGCAACAATTTTGCATGTTCTTCACATGTACCCCAAAACCTAAAATGCAATAAAATAAATAAATGGGAAAAAAAAAAGCGATTAACTTGTCTACTGATTGGCGTTTATTTCATAAAGCATTTAATTTTTCATGTGTACATCATACACTTCTGAAAATTTTATTAAAAGAATTTTTTTAAACCACTTATAAAAACACACTATTTCCTGTTTCAACTCTACCTTAGTAACCATACACAATTTCCTTTTCTTCATTGGTGCATGTGTATATGCATATTTGTACCTTCTACCTCTAAAAGGCTTATTTTCAAGCAGAAATGAGAGTGTGGCATGGTTCTCTGTTGAACTGCTTTGTTGATCAGAACATCATGAGAGTGAACAAAGCTAAGCTAAGCTTATAGGTGCAATACTCACCTGGATCATTTAACTTTGATACAAAGTGCCCTCTTAACTATTTATCTCACAACTGTGTGCAGGGGACTGAGAGAATGTGAATTATGCAGTGCAAATCTACACCACTGGTACAAAAGTTTCAAAACGTAAGTGAGCTAATATTAACATTATCTTTGTATATGAAAAACTGAAAAGCAGATTAAAAACTACTGGTTTTTTTTTGAGACAGGGTCTCGCTCGTTCGCCCAGACTTAAGTGCAATGGTGCAATCTCAGCTCACTGCAACCTCTGCGTCCCAGGTTCAAGCGATTCTCTTGTCTCAGCCTACTGAGCAGCTGGGATTACAGGCGCCTGCCACTTCGCCTGGCTAATTTTTTTGTAGTTTTTAGTAGAGACGGGGTTTCACCATCTTGGTCAGGCTGGTCTTGAACTCCTAATCCACCCGCCTCGGCCTCCCAAGTGCTGCATTACAGGCGTGAGCCACCATGCCCAGCCTAAAACTACTGCTTATAATCCCCAAACTTCACGCACACGATTAAAGAAAAAATGGACACTTCATCAGTCTCAGTAACATACTAAAGCTTAAATATTTTTGTTTAATGCTAATCTCCATAAGATATGAATCTGGCATTAAGTAACGCAGCAATTAAATTACACCAGAATAAGCAAAAAATACTTGGAAATATGCTGTAACTCTTCTTAAAACTGATTAGGCCTAATCAATTAATTATTATACCCAATTAATTTGAAAAGGGACATCACGAACAAGTAAACTTACATTCACAATTTCAAATGTATCCCAATATTAAAATATAAACGCTTTACATTAGTTACTTTTGACCATCTAAAATAAGAGAACTTTAGAATCAGGAGATTAGAAATTATCTGAGGTTCAATGAACATTTACGGTGTCCCTACCATGCCAGGAACACAGCAAGGTGCTTTCAAGGAACTCAAGTGGTTTAACCCACTCCTCTGTATAGATGTCAAAGCTCCTCAACTATGCCAAATCAAGCCATCTAGAACCAGAACCAGAAATTCTGGGCAAAGCCCTCAGTGGTATAATTTTCTATCAAAACAGACTCGTATCATCAACCCCTATAAACCAAGTAAAATTACAAAGATGCAATGTTAACCTATTTAACAAAAACAGTAGTCTTTTTTTTTTTAACAACTATAAAGAATTACAATTAAAATTCAACTGTGAGTCTTCAACTAAGTACCTATATAATTTACTGCAAAGAACAAAACATGGGGCTGTCACAGCTATGAAATTCTAAAAACATCAAACAAAACAGAAATTAAATGAATTACAGATAACCACTAAAAATCCCTTTGTTGATGCGCACAGTGGCTCATGCCTGTAATACCAGCACTTTGGGAGGCCAAGGTGGCCAGATCACTTGAGGTCAGGAGTTTGAGGTCAGCCTGGCCAACATGGTGAAACCCCATCTCTACTAAAAATTAAAAAAAAAAAAAAAAAAAAAAATTGATAGGCCAGGCGCGGTGGCTCTAGCCTGTAATCCCAGCACTTTGAGAGGCCGAGGTGGGCGGATCACCTGAGGTCAGGAGTTCGAGACCAGCCTGGCCAACACGGAGAAACCCCATCTCTTAAAAAAAAAAAAAAAAAAAAAAAATATATATATATATATATATATATATAAAATAATAATAAATTTTTAAAAATTGGCTGGGCGTGGTGGTGGACACGTGTTATCCCAGCTACTCAAAAAGCTGAGGCAGGAGAATCGCTTGAACCCAGGAGGCAGAGGTTGCAGTGGGCCAAGACTGCACCACTGCACTTCAGGCTGGGTAACAGAGCAAGACTCCTTCTCAAAAAAAGTTTTTTTAATTTTTAAAAATATCCCTGTGTAAGGAAAAAAAGCAATTACCACATGAACATTTGGATGTCTAATCCCTATTTTATATAAAAGATCATCAACCATACACTAAAGTTCATGGGTAATGGTAAACACTCACAAGGTCTAGAGTGACTTAAGTATTACAATACAAATCATAGCAGATAAGGGCAGAGACTCTGTCTAATTCATCTCTGTATCCAACAATTAGCACCCTGTTGTTGAATGTTGAAGAGAGGTAAGCTAACACCCAAACTTTAAATGTGAGCTATTGAAAAATTCAACCTAACAATCTGAAAGATCTCTTTATGGCTGACATTATTTTTTAAATGTTAAATAATAATGTCCAATGCAAGTGTTAAAATGACAATATCATGAAACGTTTACCAACAATTGTGGCTGTCAAGATCAGTATAACCTAGTCTTAAGAGTAAGGTGACGGGGATAGATATAGTGGCAGGGAAGGGTAGTAAGGGAAGACCCGAGACTGGTGCAGTGACCTGAAGGACGTTAGGGATATGTACTGCCTTGGGGAAAAAGGTTATAGGCAGAGAAGACAGCAAGTGCAGACACCTGAGTGTATTTGACCTTTTTGAGAACTAGGAGGCCAGTGTGGTTGGAGTACAGTAAGCAAGAGCAAAAGTAAAAGGACTTGAGATTATAGAAATAGCTGGGCTGCTGTAAGGCTTATATGCCATGGTGAGAACTTCGGATTTTACTGTGAATGAGATGGGAAAACACTGGATGGTTGTGAAGAGAAGAGAGACTTGCTCTGACTTAAGTTTGTGAGCATCATTGTAGCTGCTATGTGGAAATCAACTTGGGGTGGAGGGGCAAGAGTGGAAGCCGGAAGATCAATTAAGAGATTAATAATCTTCAATTCTAACCTTTTTCAGTGATTGCAAAATTGTGTATCTTTATGCTGTCGGACATATAGTTTCCTTTTCTTCCCATCTATTAAAATAATTAAATGAGCATGTGCATATACAACATTTTCTTTCTCTTGGAATATTTCCTTGGGGATTCATTTCCAGAAGGACTACAGGATCAACGTATATGAATATAGTTAACTTCTGGGGTATATTAAATATAGATACTGTCCTTCCTGAGGCCATACAAAAAGTGAACAAAGGGTTTTGAGCTGTTTTAATATGAACTGGGCAACACTCAGGGATTCCATCCAGTTCACTTTTAAGACAGATGGTCATGGTTGGCCTTAGAGGGTCCCTAACACTAATGAAAAATTTTGTGAATAACGCCTATTAACTTTTTTCTGAGGAGAGAGTTTATACATTTCATCATATTCTCAAAGGTGTCAGTGGCCTAGAAAAGGTTAAGAATTACTATTTTACAAACTGGAAGTGGACTGCAATATCCTAATATAGGGTACCTCTCAAAAGGACAGAAGATTTAACACCTAGACTCATCTTGGTAATCATTCAATTCATTCAACAAATACTGAACATGTATGATCCTCAATACCTTACAGCTGATCGTATCTGAAGTAGACCATAATTTAAACACCCAGGAAACTAGACAAGAGTCCCTGAAATATCTACAAAAGAATATCAAACTATATAATTTCAAGACAAAAATGTTACAGGAACGAATAATAAAGACAGAAAGTCTGGGGCCTAATTTAATGCTTACTATGTCAAAGTATCACAGAAATAAATTACCTCACAAGTAAAGAAAAACTACACATAAGCATGTCCACCCCCACACATTCTGACAGGAAACCCAAAGAAAGTTTCCAAATCCTGTTTCCAGCAGCATCTCTTCTGAGACAGCCCTTTACGCTTTTGAAGGTAGGAGCCCCAAGTTAAATCTAAGAGCTGATACTTAACTCTTAACTGTAATAACAAAACCATCATCCACCACCTACCTGTAGGGCTGTAGCCCAATCACCTTCTGCTCTATTATTCTATTTCACTTCCTATGCCTCCTACCTTCAAAGAAGGAACAAAATGATTTTCCCTCCCGAAACAGAATGCATTACTCCTCAACAGTAGTTCTTTTTCCAAGAGGTCAAAGGTTCCCTAAACTCTGGTTCTCAGCCCTGTGAGGAGATCCCATTTTGCAGGCACAAATGTCTTCCTCTCATCTTCTCCCCTTAGCAGTACATTACACAATTCGGCTGAAGACACTGTTCTTAACTTCCTGAGTAAGGGGGGCAACAGATGCTCTTACCAACGTTAGTTTGAAAGATCAGAAGAATCATACTGTGACCTCTTCCCTAACAAAATTCAGGTAAGAAGCAGAGACTCACGAAAAGTTAACACTGAAAAGGCGGAACACATGGTAAGCTACGGAAGACCTGGGGGTAAAGAAGGCGGGAAAGGGGCTGGAAGGTGGAGTGCGATGTAGAGATGTCAGCCCTATTCATTGGGGGAATAAAGGAAGGTAAAGGAGACCCTGAACCCTGACAGAAGTGAACACGGACATAGCAACGCTCCAACCTGTCCGCACTTCTACAGCAGAGGACAGAGGACAGAGAATTCACCCAACCCTCCAACCCCCTCCCCGTGTGACCCGCCAAAAGGGAGAGGTGGGAAGGAAGCTCTGACCCTAGACAGGGGACATGAAAGAGGAGGAAGGCAGCGATGTCCAACCTTCTAAGTCTCTCAGGCAGTGATGGGCGAGGGCACTGAGTCTGGGGAGACGGCAAGGGAAATGGGCTTGTGCTATGACACCTCGGGGAGTTGAAGGGTGGGGGACACAATGTCCTCTTTCTCTCCCACAGCCGGCCGGGGCCCCTCCCGACGATCTCCCGCAGGCCTACAGTCGACCGGGTCGGTCCGCGGGCGTGGTTGGCTCTGGCCCTGGCAGTGGCCGGGCCTCCCTGATCTCCGGCCCCTCCCGCCGGCCAGGCCCCCGGGCCGCCGCCCCGGACACCGATGGAACGCGGAGGAGGAAGGGGGAGCCAGGCGACTGACCGGCGACATGAGCCGCCTCACCATCGGCTCCGCCGACCCGCGCCCCCCGCTCCCTCTGGGGCAGTCTAGGGCTCCCCGCCCCTTACTCACCCCCCTGGTCCGGCACCTCCTCCACCACCTCCTCCTCCTCCTCCTCCTCCTCCTCCCTCCTCTCGCCCGTGGCTCCTGCTCCGGCTCTGCGCGGCGACGGCAGCGGCGGCCTCGGGAGCGGCGGCGGCGCCTCCTCCAGAACGAGCACGCACGCAGCACGCAGCCCCGCCCCCTGGTTCTGCCCCGCCCCTCCAAGTTGGCGACGAATGGGCTTCGGCCCCGCCTTCCTCGCGGCGTTCGGGAGTCCGCTTAAAGGAGCCGCGCACTTTAAGAGGGGAGCGGGAAAGTCCTGGAACTACCGGGAAGGGGCGGGGAGTTTTAGCTTTGCACAGGGTGGGATGGGAGGTGGGTAAGAACGGAAGGAAAAAATAAGGAAGGGTCCAAAGATTCAAGAAGAAAATTTGGAGGGAATACAATCATTCGACAAGAACTAACTGAGCACCTGTTAGGTGCCAGGCGCTGTTCTAACTAAGCGCAAAGGAATAAAGCCATAGACGGGCAAAGACCCTCTTGCAGAATGCATGCTAGTGGAGTGGGAGAGGGGATACAGACAACAAACAAGTGACAAAAACTGCAGGTAGTGATAAGTGGTGTGGAGAAAAATAAACAGGGGATAGGGTAACTTTACACCTGGTCAGATACTGCCTCTCCAAGAAGACCTTTGAGCCCATACACACGGTATGACGGAGTAAGTCTCGCAAACACGGGAGCCGGGAGGACGAATAGCCTTTCCAGGCTAAGAAAAAATCAGCCATAAACCCAGAGGTAGGGATATGCCTGCCATGTTGCAGAAACAGTGAAAGGCCGGCGTGGCTGTGCAGCCCGAGAGCAGTACCAGCTAGGCTCAGAGAGGTGGGCCAGTGGCCAAATGCAGTGAAACCTGCGGGCCTTATAACAGGAACTGGAAACCATAGGAGGAGGGCGAGCCGAGGAATGACCGCATCTGATTCACATTTTTAAAAGTTAGTCTTGCTGATGTGTGTAAAATACACAACAGGGAAGCACAGATGTCCTTGGGTTACCAGTACGGTAGCTTGGATTAAGTAGCCTGGCAGCCACGGACAGGATGAGAAGAAGGCTATTTTATTGTATTTAGATACATTACGATTGGAATGGATTTGGATTTGGGGGATACTGTGTGAAAGAACAAAAGGAAATCAGAGTTGATTCTTAGGTTCGTGCCTGATGACTGATTTAATGGTGGTGCCATTTAATGAAAAGGAGGCACAGATTTGGGGATGGGGAAATCAAGAGGCTTTTTTGCACGTTATGTTTAAGGTACCTGTTATACATCCAAGCCGGGATGTTGAATAAACAATTGATATGAGTCTAGAGAGATACATTTGGGATCCATTAGCACATAGATGCTTTTTAAGTCTTAGGTCCCGTTAGGATCACATAGGGAGGAGACTCGGAGGTAGCTGGAGGAGAGGACCAAGAGACACTCTAACATTTGGAGATTAAGTAGAGAAGAGAAAGAGCTACCAGTCAGGGCAGGAGGAACACCAGGAGAAGGTGAAGCATTGGAAAACAAGAGAATTGTTTTAGGAGGGAGCGAGTCATGAGTCTTATCAGATACTGCTAAATGAGTAAGATAAGGACTGAGAGTTTGAACACTGGATTTGGCCTGATGAAGTTGCCGATGACCTTGATGAAAACAGTTTCAGTGGAGTCATGAGGAGAAACTCTGATTAGGGTGTGTTAATAGGATGGGGGGTGAGGAAGAGAAAGTGATCTAAACAGCTTTTGAGAAGCTTTACTGTGAAAGAGAAAAGGGCAGTAGCCAGAGAGGTACTTGGGATCAAGGGAGAGCATTTTAAGATAGGAAATGCTTATTCTCATGTTGGTATGCTGGAATGATTTTTTAGAGAGATAAAATTGATGACACAGAATGCAACAACTGGAGAAAAAGAGCCCTCAAGTAGGTGAGAAGCAATTGGATCTAGCACAGAAGTGAAGAGGTTGGCCTAGGATAGGAGTAAGGGATTGCACTCACAGGCTATTTCTGGAGAGAAGGTAGTGTCTGGATGCAGATGCAGATAGATTAGGCAGTACATTTGTTGGTGGCACGCTCAGTCCCCTGCAGAGCAGCGGCGGCAGATGGGAGCTGAAATGTAGCCCTTGTTTTGCCCACCAAGCTATGTGCCCTGGTGGGGCCACGTCAGCCTGGAGGAAGGGGCACTTTCTGATTGCTCCACCAGGAGAGGTGATGCATTTTAGCAGTTTTTCATATATCACACACACATGCATGCATACATGTATGGACCTTTTCCCAGTTTCCACTGAGTGCTGTAAGTGCTGGCTGTCTCACTGGGATTGATGAAATAAGATCTGCTCTTTATGCAATGATAGAAGAAGGTGAGAAATAATTTCCTTGAAGAATGGAAAAGTGACTAGAGAAGCATAGTATCAACATCGCTGAGGGCCCTCTTGAGTTGATGGCCATACCTTTTTCTTTTTTGAGATGGAGTCTTGCTCTGTCGCCCAGGCTGGAGTGCAGTGGCACCATCTCGGCTCACTGCAACCTCCACCTCCCGGGTTCAAGTGATTTTCCTGTCTCAGCCTCCCAAGTAGCTGAGACAGAGGCACGTGCCACCACACCGGGCTAATTTTTTTTTTTTTTTTTGTATTTTAGTAAAGACAGGTTTTCACTGTGTTAGCCATGATGGTCTTGATCACCTGAACTCATGATCCACCCATCTTGGCCTCTCAAAGTGCTGGAATTATAGGCATGAGCCACTGTGCCTGGCCCATGGCCATACATTAAAGTGAGACCACTCTGCAAGGTTGTGTGATTCTCCTCCAGACACACTCTATCGTTTGGGGGTTAAAGGACTGTATTTGACCAGGGCTGGGTTTTGCTGAGGAAAGTCAATGAGAGGGGTAGGAGTACTATGTAAGGGAGTGATGATAGTGATGAACCTTGGAATCTAAGCTGGGAGGGAAGAGAGGGCAAGTAAGAAGTCAATGGTTTGTTGTGGTCCCTGTGAGCAGTAGCTGGAGAGGAAGTAATCAAATAAGTGGGGGCAAGGGGACTTTCCTAAGGTTGAGCATGGGGAAGGGTGAGTAACGTGGTTAGGGGAGAGGAAGCACAAAGTATCTGTGAGAAAAAAGTTCAGGCTGGTGCCAAGGAGCTAAGAACACAGCAAAGCCCTTGGGCACTTGCTGTCATCATGGTATATGTGAACCGTTGGTTTAGAGAGGTTGAGGAATTGGATTGCCCACTCATAATCTTCAGGGAGCGGCACAAACAGGAGAAACTGAGTGCAGGAGGGGATAAACCAATTAGATCCTCCCAGGGCTCCTTTACAAGCTCTGGGAAAGCCCAGCAGGCACTTTGCTTTCCTTGCCCTTTCCTTTCACCAGGGATACCTGAGCATTTGTGTTGGCACTTTATCTGGCCTGGTATTTGACAGAAACTAAACAACACCTTTCTTCCTAAATCCAGCTCCTCCTCCTCCTGACTTCCTCTTTTCTGTTCATAGCACTACCTTTCTCAGCCACTCAGCTGCCAAACAGAACCTCCAATCCATCTTCCTCATCCTACGCCCAATTAGTCCCTAAAGCATAGTGAGCTGCACTGTCCAATAAACATTGCACTATGACGGAAATGTTCTTTATCCGCATAGTCCAATACGGAAGTTACATATGGCTACTGAGCACTTAAAATGCAGCTAATGCAACTGAGGAACTGAATTTTTTTTTTTTTTGAGACAGAGTCTCACTCCGTTGCCAGGCTGGAGTGCAATGGTGCGATCTCAGCTCACTGCAACCTCTGCCTCCCAAGTTCAAGCAATTCTCCTGCCTCACCCTCCAGAGCAGCTGGGGTTACATGCGCTCGCCACCACACCCAGCAAATTTTTGTATTTTTAGTAGAGACAGGGTTTCACCATGTTGACCAGAATGGTCTCAATCTCTTGACCTTGTGATCCACCCACTTCGGCCTCCCAAAGTGCTGGGATTACAGGCGTGAGCCACCACACCTGGCCTGAATTTTAAATCCTATTTAATTTTAATTAAAGTTACATTTAAAGAGCCTTGACTAGGAGCCACTATATTGGACTGCACAGGTATAAACACTGTACTTTCTACACAATGGCTCTTCCTTTTGCCCACACCTCTTTAGCTCTATTGCCACTACTCTAGGTCAGGTATTGGTTAACCTAGGTCGAGACTTTTGCTGTGCTCTCCTATTTAGTCTCCTGCATAGTTGCCTTCCTTTCAGTCCATCTTGTGTTCTTGCCAAAACCATCTCCCTAAAGCGTTGGCCAGATCATGACTCCACCCTATTTTAAAAACTATCAATATTTCCCCCACATTTAGTACAGACCGGTCAATCTGGCACTTGCCCAATTATGTATCTCCATCCCATTTTTCCAACCTTACCTTCCACTATACCCTTACACGTATATCAAACTATTTGCTGTAACTCCTGCTAACTTTTTACAAAGGAGTCAACTTATTAAGCTGCCTCTCCGCCTGCAAAAAATGCCACTTTTCCCTCTGTCAAACCTAAAATCTGTTGAAATCCTTGAAGGTGCATTTCACATTGCAGCTCCTGAGTGGAGCCCTCCTCTGAAGTCCTGTAGTTCCTATTCATTCCTCATCTATGGCACTTATGTGCTGCCTTATAGTGCATTTTGTGTATTCATTTTATTCTTATTACTAAATATTATTCCTTGCGAGTCACTGTGTTTTAATTATGTTAATGCCTCTTGCAGTATAAGGGGCACCTTGTAAAATAAGGTACTCTTCAAAGAGTCACTGAATGTAGTTATGCACTTTCATGAAATCTGTAGGACAACCATACCCCTGCCTAACCCTAACAGTAACATCACTAGCCCTCAAAAGAAAGTCTTGATACTCTGGAAGCAACTTTTTTTTTTTTTTTAATGGAGTCTTACTCTGTCACCAGGCTGGAGTGCAATGGCGCGACCTTGTCTCAGCTCACTGCCACCTCTGCCTCCTGGGTTCAAGCGATTCCCTTGCTTCAGCCTCCTGAGTAGCTGGGACTACAGGCATGTGCCACCACCCCCAGCTAATTTTTTGTATTTTAGTAGAGGCCAGGTTTCACCATGCTGGCCAAGATGATCTCAATCTCCTGACCTCATGATCCGCCTGCCTCCGCTTCCCAAAGTGCTGGGATTACAGGCATGAGCCACCGCACCTGGCCTAGAAGCAACTTTTCTAACATGAAGTTCAGAGTTTTGAAGAGAAACACACTAGGTACTTTTCCTTTCATGTTATTATTGGCTGAGAATTTCTTCCATATGCTCCCCAAACTTAGGGTACTTTTACAACTCAGTTCTAGTTTGTAATCCTAAACTGACAGGACCAGCATAGCTACTTCTAGGATCAGTTGAAGACTTTAAGAAGCTTGTGATACATATCAATAAAAAGAAGCTTCCTTCTAATAAATGTTTAGAAAACACATTTTTAGAGCTTGAATTCTTAGAAATCTATAATGGAAGCGTAGAATTACATAGGCTATGCCCTACAATGCCTTATGTACTTTTCCTGTTGGTAAAATAGATTTTAAGGATTTAAAGAGCAGGTATAATATTTTAAACAAAAAAATGTACTTCACACATACATGATCTTTGGCACATTTATTCAGTGAGCCTTAACTGAGGCTTGCTACTTAGCAAGCCCTTATACTTGTTGCTGAGGATACAAAGACAGGAAAGATACAGTCCCTTCACTCAGGAAGGACACATGATAAAAATGTGACCTGGCATTGGTATGTGATTTTACACTTTTCACAATATCTAATCCTACAAATGATGCTATTGAAGTACATATTATTGGTCTCATTTTGTAAAGCAAAAACTTGCTTAGAAGTATTAAATGAATTTACACAAAAGCGCAGAGCTGTTAATTGGCAAGGCCTCAAACTGGTGATGTTTGGGTATCAGTACATTGGTTGAATTAGAATTATAAGTTCCCTGAAAGCAGGTACTTGATTTACTTTATTCATTACTATATTCTTAGAGCCTAGGAAAGTAACAAGAATATAGTACGTTCTCAGTAAATGTTTCAGGAATAAGTATTCAGGAGTGTGTGTGTGTGTTTGTGTGTGTGTGTGTGTGTGTGTGTGTGTGTGTGTGTGGAGAGAGAGAATATAAATGAGCATATTCTTCATTCATTATTTGTATACTTGAATTAACTAGGCTGATCTTACCTATATTAGTGCCACTCAAAATGTGGGCCAGAGATTGGTGGTGCTGGTGGACAAATTGACTAGTTGACCTTGAGATAAGTACAGAAAATGAGATTAAGCATTTAGATTTTTTTTTTGGCAGCCGGGCATGGTGGCTCATGGCTGTAATCCAAGCACTTTGGAGGCCAAAGCGGTTGGATCACCTGAGGTCAGGAGTTCAAGACCATCCTGACCAACATGGTGAAAGCCCATCTTTAAAAAAAAAAAAAAAAAAGAATTTTTTTTGGCAACCTGACATTGCTGTGATATCCAAGCAAATAATTAGTGGACTTGTCTAGGTGAACCAGGGCATGGACCAGTTTAAGTGTTGTCCAACTCTTATGGTTGGTTACATGAGGTATAACCTATGTGCTAGTCATATAGCATCTCATTTAATCCTATCATGTTGGCCACTTACCACCCAACTTCTCCTCTTCCCAGATATTCTTTACTATTTAACAAAGAGAATACTTCATGCCTTTCAAATGAAAGAGCTGGCAACAGATTTGAAACATAAGATAAATAAATAAATAACCTATATATTCACCAAAAACAGCGTTATCTACCACTGATTTTATAATGTAGAGGTACTGTTAGGCAGTAATTAAGTATATGATCTCTGGGGTGAGGCTACATAGGTTTAAAAGCAGGTTTTGCCACTAGCTGTGCAGCATTGGACAAATTACTCAACCTCTTGTAGCCTCAATTTTCTTGTCTGTCATATGATCCTAGAAAGAGTACAAAATTTCATAGTGCTTTGGTAAAAAATAAGAGAGATAATGCACAGACAGTACTCTTCATAGAAACTGTCACACAATGACAAAATGTTATTTGTATGTTATAATAAATACATCTATTACTATTATTCCATTCTTGGGTTATAGAAATTCAGGCTGTTTGAAATATTTAAAACATCTTGACTATAGAGGTAATTCTATAAATATCCAGGCTTGCAAATAGACAGTTGCTTTTCAGTTATCCATATTGTTAAAAGATGATAAAGATCAGCTAATTTCAAGGCTTTTATATTTGTTTTGTAATGCACTGTGTGACCTGAGAGACAATGCATTTGGTTTCTAGGTGGCCACTGAAAACAATTTCAATATTTTTAGCTTAGGTGATCTGAGTGGTGAAAGAAGGTATATAGGCAGGTGCATATTGTGCATTATAAAAGAGCTATATCAGAGTGGAAGGCATGGAGAAACAAGAGTTGTTCATTTGGTGGTGCGTATATTGCCTATTTATATGTTTTTTCAACAGACTTTATATACAGGATACCTTTATTCTAAGTTCCAGCCCACTGATTCTTTTTTGTTTCCTTCTGTAAACACTGTTTTCTAGAAGGAAGCTGCTACTCAGCCATGCACCTCTGCAAATCTTGGAAAGAGTCAAGGATTCCTGAGGCAAGGAAGTTGGATAATGATGAGCACCAGACAAGACACAGCTGGCCACTGGAGAGAGCCCAGTGTAGGCAGGAGGCCAGAATGTGCCAACAGTAAGTGAAGTCTTTTCTTATCGTAGGAGAAAAGCTTGCACTTAGCTGCACTATCAGAGAGAAGACTGGCATCAGACCAACCCAGCCTTCAATAAATGGAGGGAAAGAGAAATCCAGGAGCCTAGCTTTGTAGATGTGAATTAACATTGCTTATTCTGTAACAAAACTCGAGCATGTGTAAACTGCAAATTAAACAGCCCAAATATATCATTATCTGGATTTACAGAAGGCAGAATAGTGTGGTTAGGGTTGCTAGATTTAGCAAATAAAAATAGAGGATGCCCAGTTGAATTTGAATTTCAGATAAACAAAAAATACACTTTTAGTAAAAATATGTTCCATGCAATATTTAGGATTTGTTTATCCAAAAATCAAGTGTAACTGTATTTTATCTGGCAACCCTAAGTGTGGTTAAACACGTAGGCTCTGGAGTCACACAGCATGAGTTCAAATTCTGATCCTGCCTTTTACCAGCTGTGTGACCTTGGGCAAATTAACCGTTCTGAGCTTCAGTTCCCTTGTGTGTAAAATTAGGATAACATTTACTTCATAAGGTTGTTGTGAAGATTAAATAATACATTAAAAATTTTACAATGTTAGCCAGGCACGGTAGCTCACTCCTATAATCCCAGCATTTTGGGAGGCCGAGGTGGGTGGATCACCTGAGGTCAGGAGTTCGAGACTAGCCTGGCCAACATGGTGAAACTCTATCTCTACTAAAAATACAAAAATTAGCCAGGCATGGTGGTACATGCTTGTGATCTCAGCTACTTGGAAGGGTGAGGTGGGAGGATGACTTGAACCCTGGAGGGGGAGGTTGCAGTGAGCTGAGATGGTGCCACTGCACTCCAGCCTGGATGACAGAGCGAGACTCCATCTCAAAAAAATAAAGAAAAATGGAAAAAAAAAAAGTACAATGTTAACAACTGATACATCGTAAGTGCTCAAAAACTATTAGCTATTTTTATAAACAGTTATTTTATAAAATCGTTATTCCTTGACCAAATTACTTTTTTTAAATTGACATTATGATTCCAAGTACCTTTAAAAAAAATCTAAGTGGAGCTTTTTATTCCCTTCTATTTCCATAGTACTTTCACTTTATTTTTCAACAAGCTGAGCTAACACAACTTTTAGACTCAACTATTTATGGTATGAAGGAATACGGGTCAAACATCATACAACATCGTCAGGTTTCCTATCCCTTCCCTTAGTGCCTGATACTTGAACCCAATTTTCAAGACATCCTAAGCTCCAAATTTCCAGTGAGAAATTTGGGTAAACTTTTACAAAATATTCCTTGAATGTTTACTAGATGAAAGTTAGGAGCCAATGACAGTTCTAGAATGGGGTTTTCTTAGAGAGAAGTTTTGTTACAATGGTATTTGTCGTAATAGGATTCTGCACTCTGTATAGATCATTTAAGAATAACCAGTTTGTACAGAGAGTTCCAGTTCTTGTAAAAGAGCTTGTAATGGAGTTCTAGTTCTTGTAATTCCCGTTGTTGTAATAGAGTTCCAGTTCTTGTAATTATCACAAAGTTAAAAATCAGACAAGAAGAAAGAGCAATGGGCTTGGAATAAAAGAAATATGTTTCTCTCACTGAGTACAAGTCACCTAATACTTCTGAATATTTGCTTTCTCATTTATAAAACGAGAATACTACCTTAAATAGTAATAATCAAGTTAAATGAGATAATATAAGGAACAATATAGCACTGGTTCTCAAAGTAAGCACTCAATAAATATTTGTTAATTTGGATCTGTTATATTCACCAGAAGGAAGATTATATACCAGTGCAGACTTACAGAAAGATTAAAGCCTGGGGTTTATGCTACTTTATATGGCTGAGCTAAAACGCCTTACTCTGTCCACATCTGCTTTTGGATAAGAACCAATAACTTCCAAACAATGATACAACTAAGGGGAATTTGAGGAAGAACTCCATCTTCCCCATTGTCAGTGACTGGTGTGGGGGGTGTGTGTGCGTATGTGTGTGTGTTGTGTTGGGTGGAGGAAAGTAGTGGGATAGGAGAAAGGCAGAAAAGGAGTTGGAAATGTCCTTTTTCTTTCAGTAACTAGTTAAGTCAGATACCAAACTTTGTGTGTAAAAATACTAGCCTGAGTCCAAAACGTAGAAAACACATTTCTACTAAATTTATAATATTAATTTTGAGCTGAGGGAGCAAATTCCAAATTCAAACCAGATTCAGAAATTATGACCTCAGTTTTTCCAGAGTTTCTACTGATTAGGATTGTTGTAGATTAGCCAGGGGTAGACTGTATTAGGGGAAAAATAAGAGAGAAAACTAGAATTCATGAGACTATGTAAACTCAGAGAATGAAGTTTCCTGTGTTAGAATTTGCTGCTAGTAAATGAGACACAATGAAAGGAATATAGTGTTTTTCTAAGGAAGAGTGAGGGGGTGAGTCTCAGGGTTTTGCAAAAGGGATTAGCAATGGAGTCAATCATTTTTGACTGTAAGGTCATAAGGAGCGTATAGTTTTTCAGAGCAGTATGTGAATGATGGTAAACTAAGGTAGTAGAGATGGTGGTCACAGAATAAACTAGAAGACAGTTTTTTTTTTTTTTTTTTTTTTTTGAGAAGGAGTTTCGCTCTTGTTACCCAGGCTGGAGTGCAGTGGCGCAATCTCGGCTCACCGCAACCTCTGCCTCCTGGGTTCAGGCAATTCTCCTGCCTCAGCCTCCCGAGTAGCTGGGATTACAGGCATGCACCACCATGCCCAGCTAATTTTTTGTATTTTTAGTAGAGACGGGGTTTCACCGTGTTGACCAGGATGGTCTCGATCTCTTGACCTCGTGATCCACCTGCCTCGGCCTCCCAAACTGCTGGGATTACAAGCGTGAGCCACCGCGCCCGGCCTAGAAGACAGTTTTGAAAGTCAATCAGGCTGGGCATGGGGGCTCACACCGATAATCCCAACACTTTGGGAGGCTGAGGCGGGCAGATCACCTGAGATCAGAAGTTTGAGAGCAGCCTGGCCAACATGGTGAAACCCGTCTCTACTAAAAATACAAAACTTAGCTGGGTGTGGTGGCGTGTGCCTATAATCCCAGGTACTCAGGAGGCTGAGGCAGGGGAATCGCTTAAACTCAGGAGGCAGAGGTTTCAGTGAGCTCAGAGTATGCCATTGCACTCTAGCCTGGGCAAAAGACCAAGACTCCATCTAAAAAAAAAAAGTCAATCAATATTTATATATTGAATATCAACTCTGTGCTCAATAGCCTTCCACTGTTCAGGGGATACAATGACACAGAGCAGAGCACCAGCACCCCATGTGTGTAGTTTAGGGAGAAATAACCTATGAGCTTAGACGAAGGCAGAAGAAAAAGATGAAAGGCTCTGTAACCACAGGGTTAAGAAATCTTGAATGACTAACATTTGAGTAAAAAAAAAGTAAGGGTCGAATTATAAACAGCAAACAGAAACAGAATTTGCTACTAAAGAAGGGGGCTCTTGATATATTAATAATAATATTAATAATAATAATGAAGTGTCAGGTATGCCAGGGACCTGACTGAAGGTCTCACCTGGGCTTTGAACTTGGTAAAAGGTAGCTGTAAAGCATTCTCAAGTCCTTCCCTTGCCTCCTGCACCCAGGGTTCAAGATGTGAAGGAAGAAAAGCCAGGGCATTTGCATCCTTGACAGACATCTGAAATGGATCATCACCTTGCCGGGAGTTGGAGGGTTTTTTCTCACCACCCCTCTGTCATCCCCTGAGCTGTAATTGCCAAAATGGACAGATTGTCACAAATTCAGCCTATGCAAGTATCTTACTGATGCTCATTCGCTGATTTTAATGAGTTCCAGAACCAATTTGTGATCTTACAATCGCCCATGTTTATCACCAAAAGAAAGCACTGTAGGTCTAGTGCAAGAGGTCAGCTCAGCCTAACTCAGCAGAGAGACATTGATATGAAAATGAATTCAAACGAGCTCTTGTGGGCATTGTAAGGCCTCGCTGTTCTCTAATATCATTAAACAGAAAAACATTACGTGCTGGATGTGCTGATGAGCCAGTTCTTGTATAATACCTGTCTTGCAAACTATACGTGAGTATACTTTTGTTCTCTCTTCACATTTCAGAGCTTCCTCTACTCTGCCTAAAAAGGAAAACTCACATCTTTGAGCTGTTACAATAAAACTACTGGCAGCCTGTAAAGTGAGAACAGAGGCTTGCCTTAATTTATCGCACCACACAGATTTATTACACATCAGGGTAATAATAACAATACCGTGACTTGCTGCCTGATAATCTCCCGTTTTGCTCCAGTAGGAGTGTGGTGGTGGGAGCTTGGAGGGCCCTGCAGACTGCCTGTATGGTGCTGAGCACTGCTAGGCACACTCTTGGCTCAGTGCCATGAAATGATGCGATACTACTGGGCCGTGCAGTGCCAAGATGTGATGCAAAGCTGGTGAGGAGTTGTAGTATTTGGACAGAAAATACTGGAAGCCATTTTCCAGGTCTATATGAAAAGAGTGTTTCCACAGTTGCTATTTGCCAGGAGAATGGCATTCTCCAGCTACCTTTTTCTCATAAAAGGTTCCTCATGCTCTGAGAATGAAGGCATTTTTTTAAAAAAGGTTCCTCAGCCGGGCGTGGTGGCTCACGCCTGTAATCCAAGCACTTTGGAGGCCAAGGCGGGCGGATCACCTGAGGTCAGGAGTTCAAGACCAGCCTGACCAACATGGTGAAATCCTGTCTTTATAAAAATAAATAAATAAAATAAAAAACATTCTTCAACCTGAAATATGATGAGAACCCAGTTTTAGAACCATAGATGTAAGGCATTCCCTTAGGGGGCATTTTACCTGTCTTTAGGCAACACCACACCTAAAAGAATCCAGGAACATAAAAGTTAAATTGATTTCAGAGAGAGTTTCTGAGAAACAGTTCACAAAATTCGGGGTCAAAGATGATTGCCCTTCAGGCCATGGATGTCCTTCCATGCCAGCCTCACTTTTGGGCTGTTTCTCTGTCTTTTCTTATGGCTCCCGAGTCCTGGGGTGTCTGATCAGTCTTGGCTGCTTCTAGGGAAACTGCGCAGAGGCACTTGGGCACTGAGCTTGTCCCTGGTGACGACAGCAACATCCTCACAGAGGACAGCATCCATCAGAGGTGCCCTCCTGCTGCTCAGCTTGCTCCGGAAGCCTCTCATTAGTTTCTAATTTTTAAGATAATGGGAACTTAATGGGGATTATTTTGATTTCTCTTACCAGCCAACATTTTTGTAGCTGAAGCCCTGCTGCCCCCAGCTGCACTGCCTGAACAAATTGCATCTGAGCAAGCGAAAGCCGTGGCCCAGGAGGCTGCTGACATGACTTCAGAAAGGCACAGCCCAATCCTATTGCCTAATGTTCTTTGTTCTTAGGCCAAGACTTTGGCCTGTAACAGTGGTTGGATTTCTGACCTTTTGGGTGACCACTTTAGTTTCTCCTTTCTTCACCTACCAATTTCTAGAGAGAAACATCTTTAACAAATCATCTGTAAATCAATCCATGCATTCCAAGTATTTGAGAAGTTCAGGCTACTGCTGCCTCTTCCATACCATGCTTGATAAAAATGAAAAATTCAGTTCGCCCACAGTCCATCACCTGGTTGTATTTAACACAGAGATTCACTCTCTGAATACAGTATAAAGATCAAAATGATTGGAAAATTATGTACGCTTAACCTCTCAGAGGAATCAGGTGACCTCAATAAATTTTTTTTGAGACGATTAGGCCCTGGGGATCCAAAGACATTGTCCCTGTCCTCTCCAAAAACTTTGGTTTTCTTCCCAATAAACATATGTGTATTTATTTGGTTTTGCATTGGCAAGTAGCAGTCGGTCGGGTAAATTGGCCCTTGGGAAATTTTATCCTGCCAAAATGATTCACAAGCCACAAAAATGTGAAAACTACCATCCTTAGAACACCAGCCGTGCCCTACACCTCACAGGATAGGCTGGGGTTTGGGTCTCCTCTTCCTCTGTTGGCTGTTACCTTTTACAACTACTGGCAAATCCTGAATCTTGGAAACCACTTCAGTCCAGCAGTCACTAATTGCTCCCTGGCAAGAAACCATGCTGGTCTCCTGTCTGAGTTCAATGGAGAATGATCACTATTAACTTGAAGCTCTGGCAGTAGATCTTCCTCTCCCAAATGACCCAAAGCAGTCTAACACCAGAGAACCCAGTGAGGCAGAGTGGTGGCTGAGTCATATAAATCGAGATAAACATGGTCTCAGGTGCCCAGGCTTCAAAGCACATTGCTGCTTACTCTTGATGGAGGGCCTACAACTGTTTTAATCATGTAATTATTTTGAGGATAAATTAATAAGAAAGGGGATTCACCGGGTCGGGTGCGGTGGCTCACGTCTATAATCCCAGCACTTTGGGAGGCCGAGGCGGGTGGATCACGAGGTCAAGAGATTGAGATCATCTTGGTCAACATGGTGAAACCCCGTCTCTACAAAAAATACAAAAATTACCTGGGCATGGTGGCACGCGCCTGTAATCCCAGCTACTCGGAAGGCTGAGGCAGGAGAATTGTTTGAACCCAAGAGGCAGAGGTTGCGGTGAGCCGAGATCGCGCCATTGCACTCCAGCCTGGGTAACAAAAGCGAAACTCTGTCTCAAAAAAAAAAAAAAAGAAAGAAAGAAAGAAAGGGGATTCACCTCCCAGCCATTTTTTTCAGGGTCGTTGTCAATAGATGGGCCCAAAAGGAAGAACAAGGAAAAGGGCACCAAAGAGGAGAAATGAAAATACAAGGTGAGAAGTGGGTAGAAACTGTAGCCTTGTAAACAAATCCAAGCCAAAATTGTCAGAGGTGGGGAACTGTTTTTAAAAATTATTTTGTATAACTCAATCAAGACAGTTGCAGGCGGGCAAAAAGAAAAAAAATTATTTTGATGATGACTTTTTTGTTTTGTTTTTATATGTTAAGGATACAAGCTGAACTGTGGACATCCTGGCACTGGGAATTAAGTTAAAAAGCAGGGCAGCGAGAGGAAGCATTGAGCAGGTGAGAGTGAGGCAGAGGGTTTAGTCCTGCAGGAAACAGTTGCCTGACTTTAAAGCATGCCTGTGTCACTGACAGCATTTAGGAGTGCACACAGTGTGCAGAAACTTGGCTTGTCAGCCCTCCTGATGCTGACAGATAGGGCAGCTTCACTGTGGAGCACTACACAAGCTCATTTGCTGCCTTCATCAGTCTGTAGGTGCTGACTTTGCTGGTAGAATCACCACCGCAGCCACAGGGCCTCTTCTCCCTTACCCACTTCCTCCCATTCACATCGCTCATTTCATCAGAGACACTAAGGCCCACTAGAGCCTGCTTTGCATCTCTTACATCAGAGGTTTGGGGTGGCACATTGGAAATGATCTTTGCAAACTTTTTCTTTTGTACGCTTGAAGTTTGAGCAGAGAGGCAAAGAAAGTGGGCCAGGAGCAAAGTGTCTGCATTTCTCAAATAAGTCTGAAAGGAAGCTCATCTGAAAATGTAGCTGGAGGCAAAGACAGCTTTCAGGGTTAAAGTTGGGCAGGATCTCACAGAGTTGCAATCCTGCAAATTTTATTTGTTTTGTTAAAAAGAGAAGGAAGTCCTTTTTTTTTTTTTTTTTAAAAGAGGCGGGTTTTGCTCTTTTTACCCCGGCTGGGGTGCAAGGGCGCGATCTCGGCTCACCGCAACCTCCGCCTCCCGGGTTCAGGCAATTCTCCTGCCTCAGCCTCCCGAGTAGCTGGGATTACAGGCACGCGCCACCATGCCCAGCTAATTTTTTGTATTTTTAGTAGAGACGGGGTTTCACCATGTTGACCAGGATGGTCTCGATCTGTTGACCTCGTGATCCACCCGCCTTGGCCTCCCAAAGTGCTGGGATTACAGGCTTGAGCCACCGCGCCCGGCCGGAAGTCTTTTTTTTTAAAAGCTAGATAGCATGGTAGGAAAAAGAATCTAAAAGATGTTCACCATTTTATTATTATTATTATACTTTAAGTTCTGGGGTACATGTGCAGAACGTGCAGGTTTGTTACACGGGTATACATGTGCCTTGGTGGTTTGCTGCATCCATCACCCTGTCATCTATGGTAGGTATTTCTCCTAATGCTATTCCTCCCCAATCCCCCACCCTCAGACAGGCCCCGGTGTGTGATGTTCCCCTCCCTGTGTCCATGTGTTCTCATTGTTCAACACCCACTTATGAGTGAGAACATGTGAGATGTTCACCATTTTTTAAACTGCAGTCATGAACATTTTAACTGGGAAGAGTAGGGGAGTGGGTTTTGTATCCCAACACAACTGTTCATGCCCCAAACTTGGGAAGGGAGAGGAGAAGGCATTTTACAAAGGAAAAAATGAAATATTCGTTACCTAAAATTTTCCACTTTGACAAAAATGAAAGTTCAATTTACAAGCTAAAGGAACATTCTATTGACTCTTCAGTGCACCTCAGAACATCCTACCAAGGGCTTCAGCTCTGCCTAATTTTGACACCTTTCATCTCAGAGTCCCCAGTAAACACTAATTAATTTCCACAGCATTCTGAAGTTGGTCAAGTCTTTCAAATTACAGTGATGACAGGTTGGGCAAGAGGTGGTAATTTTCCTTTGTTGTCATTACCCTTCCCACATGCTGGGCAACTGAAGCATGGAAGAACAGAGGTAAGATACTGGCTTCAAGGTTCAGAACCAAATCTGTGGCGTTCCAGGAACCAAACCTTGAACATTCAAGTCATCTCTGGGAAGTGGCTTTTTGATTCAGCACTTGTACTTTCCAGCGTCAGCACTTGTATGTGTCAGTAGCTAAGTCTCTCATCCAAGGTCCCCAGGTCCTCAGCCTGTGCTTCATCTCAGGAAAGCCCTCTGGCAGTTGAAGAGAATGGGGTGGATGGGGAAGTAGGGTGAGACCTCAGTGAGTTTGATGGTTGGGTGCTTGAAAGGAAATCTAAGAGGGGAAGAAGAAGGGTTCTGTGATTGTGAATTACTATAAGAAGAGACGATTGGATTGGAAAGAGCTGGCAGGACTTACACTGCATCCTCCCTTGATAATCACAGTGCCATGGTCACGCCTGATCACACACTTCACTTGCCCTGCCCTCTTGGGTATTAGGGGTATCCCCTCAATGTTGGAAAGAGGCATAACGTGTAGCTACCGGGGTAGATTTTCCTGAGGTCTTATTTATATCCCCCTTTAATAGAAATAAACAGGACCCTTATTTCTAGGTTGATCAAAATGGTCTTAGAGTAGCTAAATCACTCTGTGTCAGCTGGACTTTATTTTTTTAAGTGGCAGAAGAGAAGGATGAGCAATGTTCAGTAGGTAGGGAAGGTTAGAGCAGTAGATGTTCGTTTTCTCCCATCTTCTTCATGATCTCTTGCCTCAGAAAAGTGGGAGAAACATAAACCAGCACACATCTGACGAATGTCCTGCCCCAAAGAGTCATCTAAGTCTGTGTCTCCGCAGGAAGAGGGGAAAGAGGAAGAGAAACTGACATTTGAGTGCCAACTCTATATTGGTCACCATATGGAAACAGTTGAATTTAATCCTCCTTTACAAGCCCCTACTTTGTAGATATTATTATCCCCATTTTAAAAAATAACTTTATTAGGCTCTTGCAATTAGGAA